TGGATGAGATCGCAGCAGAATGTAACGCAACGAGCTCCGATTCGGACGAACTGTCGAACAGACCGTCCTCCGACATCGTTCGGACGGACAGGTCTTTGAGAGCGCGCGTGGATGCGGGCATTGTGGCTGGATGCGTTCAGGTCGACGAGAGAGCGCTATGACGACACCAGCGTGGGCCACTGGGGAGTCCTTGTGTGGCGCAAAGGTGAGCGAGCGAGCAGCCCCAGGGCGTTTGAGATCGATGAGCAACGCGAGCAAGCGACTGAGCGATAGCTTAGAGTCAAGAGCGAGCGACGCTTGAGATGCCCGATGCCGATTCGCAGACTGGATGGTAGATCGATGCAAGATAAGGGCGTTACCCCAACGAGATCGTGAGGGTTAACGCGATAGCGCTCCGTTCACTTGAGTGGCCACCGGACTGCGCAGAGACGGTGATAGCTGATGGAACTCGACAGGTTGAGACAGACCGAGCAAGACGCAAGCACAATCCAAACTGCGAGGATGTGGTCGACCGCACCTTCTGGCCACCGAGTCGGATGGTTGCGCTGTGCTTAAATATCTAGAGAAATAACCGACTTCGGCGGCAGCCACGCCAGCGTGTGGCGTGGCAGCGACGCGTCTGTGGCACGACACGTGACGTTTGGCCACTCACAGGCCATGTAAGTGTGGTCACCGTCGAACAAGGATCTCACACATTCCGGATAATACAAGGCGATGAAGACAACTCGTTTTTGCAACGAAAACATGACATCAATATCGAAGTACAGACCATCCGCTGTGTATATTAGCCTCGACGCTTAGGTTAGGTTTGTTTTCAAATTGCCACTGGACCTGCAACACCGACATGTATGCAATCTGCAAGAGTGCTGCAGCAGAATGGATATCAAGATCGAGCACTCAGAGAATGTAACGCAAGACGATCGCGCCTCACCCTACACCCTGCCCCTTCCCTGTGCTCGCTACCCCTTCCTAGTCCCATCTCCCAGCTCTTTCCACCACTCCTTCTCTTTCGTTTTGCCCCCATCCAGCTTTGTAGCCTCCAATATCTTTCTCCTTTTCCGCACGACCACCGACAGGCCCGAGCTGATGCCTTTCCGCCCACCGCCGGGGAACTCGGTAGCATTCGTCCTGTGTTTCTCTTTCGGCTTGTTTTTCTGTTTTGAGGAAGGCGATGTCGGAGAAGACTGAGGAGGTTCCTTCGCCTTTGCCCCTTGCGAGAGTTTACTGGATGTCGACGCTTTGCTCCGCGTGTCGTCGGTCATTGACTCCCGCTCATCATCTCCCTTCTCATCGTCCTCCGCCTCGACGTCCGCCCGCGCGCGCTTCTTCCCTTTAGCACCCGTCGATGGCTTATGACTATGGCCCTTCTCCCACTCACGCCGATGCAGCCGGTAAACAGCCATCGTTGCCCGCGCATCGATGACCTGAGAAGACGGACGGTATATCAGTCGACGCCAAAGCAGACGGAGAGAGTCACGCACACTTGAATGTTCACCCTCCTGGATCACCACGCCGAGCTCCTGGCGGACGAGGTGCCTCAGCGCGATGCGGCGCGAGCGCGTGAGATTGTGCCTGAATGCGTAGATCTGCGTGTCGCGTGTGTACGGGCGGGGATGTGAGAGGAGCAGGGCCTGCGGGTCGACGGGACGATTAGAAAGGTTCATAAAGTAGCACGCGAACGCACCTTGAGGTCATTATGCACAGCATGCCCGACGAGTATCCGGTCCTCGAGCAGATCCGCCACCTCCTTCTGAGCCTCTTCGAACGATTTGGCTGCCAGCCAAGTCAAATCACCACCCACCACTCCTCAGCACGACTAGTCAGCAGACGCACCATTGACCATGTCGCGCGGACGGATACCAGAGAACTGTGTGCGATAGTCGACGACACGCTCCTTCGGGCGGACGAACACGTCGAGGAGGACGACGCCGTGGAAGTTGACGAGCGAGACGCGCGCGAGGGCAGACTCGGCGCCTTCGAGCCCGACGCCGACCATCTCGCAGTCGAGCGAGAGGTACTTGCCTGGTCTGTGATCGGGGCCTGAGTACGGATCGGGCGGGGGTAGGAAGACTGTGCTCACACTCACTGCGTGTGGGAGGCTGGCACGGCGAGCGTGCCGGCGATCATGGCGCGTAGCGAGGATAGGGGCTCGCTGGTGCGCGTGTTGAGTGTGCTGAGGTCGTTCGGGGGTATCGTCATGGGTGGAGACCGAAGTGAGGGTGCAGAGGGGGAGGAGCCCCGAGGAAAGGTGTCGCCGGCGGAGAATGCGGTGGGTGAGGAACGAACACTATCACTTTCTAGCTTCCTCCGCTTCCTACTTCGGACATCCGCCAATGAAGAGGACTTATTCGCTTCTCCTGGTGTTTTTGAAGGGACAGAAGGCAGTTTCTGTGAGTAGTTAGCGCACGCGAGCATGTTGGAATGGACAGGGCTTGCCGTACCTTCTGAAGAGCAAGCCAGTTAGACGACGGCCGCTGTGCATGTACCTTCAAGCCTTGTCTTGCTTTTGCAACCGACTTCGGTGCCGCGGCAGAGGACATGGTGCAAGAAAAGAAACGAGAACGAGGAAGACAAACAACTCGCAGCCACAACCGTGCGCCCATCGCGCTAGCGCTTCGCCTCCGCCCTCCTCTTTCGGCTCACTAGTGTTCTCAACGTTCGCCGCAATGAACTTACAGACGATCAACGAGCTCGTCGCCGGCAGCATCGGCGGCGCCGCGCAGGTGCTCGTCGGACAACCGCTCGACACCATCAAAACCCGCGCGCAGATCGCTCCCAGTCAGTTCATCTCCCCTCATTGTTCCCGCTCGTAATATTGTCTGACAAGCCGTGCCTCATGCGTCACGTACAAACTCCCCCCGCACGACCGCGGCCGCGTGCTCTAGAGGGGATGTTTGTCAGTGCGATTGTGCTGTTGGGGATGCAGGACGCGTTGAATGAGTGTGTCTGGAATCCAGAAAGGCCCGATGGACATCCTTATGCAGACGATACGCAAGGAAGGGTTCTTTGCATTGTACAAAGGTAAGTACAGATTACTTCGTCACTGTATACCGACCTTGCCTTCCGCACCCACTCCACTGGACCAACTCACAAGCCACCATCCTCCACTTCTCTCTTCGCTCCTTCGCGTCGGGCTCTCTAAATCGCTCCCTGATGCGATGACGAGAATATAACATGTACTCGCAGGCATGGCCAGCCCACTACTCGGCATCGCCGGCGTAAACTCCCTCCTCTTCGCCGCCTACGGCACCTCCAAACGCATCCTCTCCCCCTTCCCACAACTCTCCCTCCAACAAATCGCCGCAGCAGGCGCGATGGCCGGCGCCGCAAACGCCATATTAGCCAGTCCAGGTAAGCACGCGTGTACTTTGACTTGCGCCGCGCGATCGCTCGTAACATGATGGCGTGCACCGATGCGCGTTGCGATCTACAGTGGAGATGTTCAAGATCCGCATGCAAGGTCAGTATGGCGGTGTGGGGGATAAGCGGCTCAGAGACGTCGCGAGGGAGATGTGGGCGCAGTGGGGGTTCCGGAAAGGAGTGATGCGCGGGTATTGGATCACGGTGGCACGGGAGATACCAGCGTATGCGGGGTGCGTTCCCATCTCGTTGCCTCTCTTATTTCTCTGCCATTGTCGACCATGACGTTGGAGAGATCAACAGTGAGACGAGATTAACTGACGAAGTTGTGGCGACGACGTGGTTGTTGCAGGTTCTATTCCGGTAGGTCTTGGCACTGAGGCAGCCGTATTGATGTGACACTGCTCGCACCGCGCAGCGTTTGAGTTCTCGAGACGGAAGTTTGCAGATCGCTACGGTGGCCCAACAAAGGTCCCGGTATGGGCATTGCTCGTGAGCGGGGCAGGCGGCGGGGTGCGTGCAGCCGAATGCATCATCCCGTCTTCCAACCTCACAAATACATCTGACCTCAGATTGCCTACTGGCTTGCATGTTATCCGCTAGGTGAGGACATCCTCCTCGTAAAGCATCCATCCGTAACCCAATGCAATTCACATCCCTCTAGACGTGGTGAAATCGCGCGTTCAACTACGCGACACGCCGCCGACGGGGACGCCCGTGCAGTACATCGCGCGTGAGCTGCTGGCAGTCGTGCACGAGGGCGGATGGTCAGTGCACAATCTTCTCATCTAGCTCTCGACGACCTCTCATCGCATTTTCCAGGACGGGATTGTTCAGAGGGTTATCTCCGTCGTGTGAGTGGATGCTCGTCTTCGACTTCTCTCCGAATGGTCGATGACAGCTTCTCCCTTTGCCCACTAGTGTTGAGGAGGTGAGTCATCTGTGGTGATCACCAGAGTCATAGCGGTGACGCTGAAGGACGTGTCCAGCATCCCGGCCGCTGCGAGCACATTCGCGGCGTATGAGATTACAAGAGGTACGTATTCCCCGCCGATCACACCGCCATCCGCTCTTCGGCTGTGTGGGCGCCACGATAACCGCACGCTGACCTCACTCACGAACTGCTTTCGCGCAGAATGGTTGAGGGAGGCTACAGGCGTTTAACGTTTGGTTGTCGTGCTCGACGGACGCGTGAAACGTGTAGGGGGCGGCTATGAGGATATCTCGGCATCTGTGGAGTGAAAATGCTAGGTTGGCTTTGGTTTTTCTCTCCCTTGTGTCGATGATCCGCGGGTGATTATGCCAGGTTTTATTTCAAATCTGTGCACCCATAGGCAACGACTCATCACCTAGCGCCATCGGCGATGATTTACAAGCTCGGCGGTGGACCATCAAAACTACTCATGTCTAGTGCTGCGGACTCGAGTAAGACGCTGCGTGCTCGTTACGTTTTATCAAGAATGCTCCCTCGCTGCGCCTTTCTCAGGTTATTCGTTTGAAGGTTTGTTTTGACCGTTGTAGCGCCGTTCGCATCTGTCTTTGCCCGCTATTTTGGTGATTCGAGGAGCGCTCCGGGAACGATGAAGACAAATTCTTGACTCCGGCTCGGCGGCCTGTCTTGCTCTGCTCACGTTTGTTTTCTCTCCATCTGGGAGGTGACTTGTTCTCGCAACCGTGCTGGGAGCTTCCTGCCTCCTGTTGATGGGTTCGTCCGCGCCGTGGCTAGATTTGTTGAATTCGCTCCTGGCTCTTCTCGTCTCGCGGGCTGTTCATCCCACCCGAGGCATGCTGGCTCGAGGTACGCACAGTGAGTGGTTCGAAGGGAGTAAGGGTGAAAAGAGGGTGACGTACTCAGCCATCTTCTTGCGGACTCGCCCGCCTTACTAGGAATGTCCATGAGGAGCGCGCTGGAAGACGTCGAAGTCGGACTTCTTTCATCCTTCGTCTGCTCCCAAGGCATTCTCGATGGGCAGATATCCCAACTGTCGTGATGGCATGAATTGTTCCTGTCATGTTTCTATGAAATTCCTCGGTATACCAGGTTTAGCAGATTTACTGGGTTGTGTCGTGCAGTTGCTCCGATATAGGCCTGTCAAGATGGCGGACAATGGCCTTTCTGATTCATAACAGACTGCTGGCTTTTCCTGATGACTCTTTGCTCTCGAAGCTGGAAGGCCGATTACTCTGTCAGTGTATTTCATCACACGGAACTCTTGGATGAGAAAGGTCAGCAGGGTCTTGTTCATCACAATGGTTCTGCGCATGTGCTGGCGTGGGTACGTCGGCCGCCTCGTTGACCTCGACTATATATCAACGCTGTTCCGTGAATTGAACCGTTGAATTGCCTAGCGTTAAGACCGCACTAGAACGAACTCCATGCATGCATCTGTCTCGAGACAGATGCATGCATGGAGTGCCGGAGCTCCGGCACACGGATTTACTTCTCTTACCTCATAACTCGGAACATACGGGTCCGATTCATCACCACATCGTTAGAGGGCTGTGCGACGAACACCATCATCCGAGTCGCATTGTGGTCATCCATGTTCCTGCTTGGTCTCTGTTCCGGCACCTTCCAGATTGCTCGTTCCTTTGCCGAGGACATAATCCGAGCTGGAAGGCATTTCAACCGGGAACAGGCTAGGGTCTTCAAGATCGCTGCTGAGGAAAGTATCTGCTCTATTATAACCGCAAGTGCAGACTGTTTTGAATGCCTCGCTCGAGTTGTATTTCGTCACCTCGACGTCATGTGCCTCTTCGTGCCGAGGTTGGCGTGATCGCCGTCTTCTTCTTCTGAATTGGAACCACCTTCGATGAAAGAAGTGCATCACGAACGATAAGAACCGCATGCGTATGCTGATGATAACTTGGCCACTACACGCCACACGTCCAGCCTGGCATGATATTCAAATATGTACAAGCATCGATTCTGCATTGAATAGCAGCGCTTGCAATGCAATATAATATTCGGTGCGTCTCCCCGGTTCCAATTGTTTCGTGGCCATGCGTATCTGACAGATGTTCTTGTCGATCACGCTTTGATTAAAAAACTAATCAGTTTGATGGATTTCGGCCTCTTCGTTCGGCTGTTGCTTACCCCTCCCCGGCTTGTCGTGACAGGTCGGAGCGCGTGCTGATGACAGTGCGATGGCGCGGATGGAAATTGGGTACGCAGTCTCGTACTCGGCTCTTGACTACTCTCACACAGCCACCTCAGGAAAAGATGAGGTCTGGACAATTGACCAGCTGGCTCGGGCACGTTGCACCGTTCTCAACACTTGCCTTTGCTCTCATCTTCGATCTGTCCGCAGTGCAGTGCTTGTGCTGAGAGAGAAGCCCACTGCTGGCATGTTCATGATTATTTGGATTCTTACATTGACAGTCTCCGCTCAAGCCTTTTGTCCATCAGTGCCGCGTCCCTCCCGGCATCAACACGACTCGGCGACTCGCTGGGGCTGGATGGATGCAATTTCTCGTACTCTGACTCGCATCTGTGGTTCTCGCCTTCTTGTTCATGAATCATCTTCTCGCGCTCAGCATTTTCACCGCAGAAGACGCGCAAAGCCTCTAAAGGCAAATTCTCCCGGTTTTGTATCAGAGCGCCAGCGATCCGACACCACTCCTAGCTGTGCCTCATCTGTTGCAAGTGGATCCTACTACCTGCAAATGCACCCGTGGCTCACTCTTACACACGGGCGAGTCATTGTGGTTTTCGAGAGTGAACAAGGGGGGTGAGCCTTGGTCGATGCGCTTCACACGCGGCACGATGAGGGTTTGTCTCAATCTATCATCTTCTTATTACACCCTTGATGCAACATTTTCTCTCCCAGCTCACACAGTCCTATGATCAGAACAGATTGCTCAAGGTGCGTGGATGATGTGAGTACGTTTCACATATAGAAACGCCCAGCGCGCTAATCAAAGCTCTCAGTCAGCGAATGATGCAGGAACCTGACCATCCGTCCAATCTGGGCATCGCGCAGGGCACATTGAGCAGGATATGGCATCGGCCGCACTCTGTCTGCATTGTCTGTTCCCATCGCGCACGTCCAGCAGAGGAAGGATAGGGTCCATGCCCTGAATGACATTGAAGAGTGCGTTTCTAGGTTCTCGGCGATCATCAGCTCACCATCAGAAGATGCAGATGCAGCAGCACGCTTGGGGCACACGCACACGCCGGTCCGGGTGTGCCTTTTACCACTCATTGATGCTGTGCCCACAGTTTTTACCATGCTCGGATCTCCGCTCCAAGACCTCGAGCGTCGAATCGCTCGACTCGGAGGTCGCCCACCGTCCACTCGCCTCGAACATCGCGAACAGACCCCACACAAGCAGAGCCCCGGCGCAGGCTCTCTCCCTCTCCCGCTGGCGACATGTCGCAGCACGCGACGCGCGCGTCGTCGACACCCAATCTGAGTCCGACCCCACCGGGAGTCGTCCCAACGCAGATTGGCGCCAGCACAGCTCCGCCAGCCTCGTCGCGCTCTTCAACGCCTCTGCCTGCGCTCCCGCCGTCGCATGCCCCGCGGCATAGCAGCTCCACGATGTACCCTCTCTCCCCCGTCTCACCCGTATTCTCGCCGAACCTCGCTAGGAGCGGCAGCCGCGCGCGGAGGCCAGGGATGGAGCCCGTGCTGGAGGATAGCAGCACCGATCAGCGCGTCAACAGCGAGTCACGCCAGCTGCCGTCGCCGCCGGCCTCTCCTGACCAGCCCCAGCCGACTACGAGAGGATCCCGACGTCCGAGCCTGGCGGGCAGCCATTCTTCCTCTCCTGCGCTCCCGTTCCGGCCCCGCTCGTCCACCGTGACAGGCCCATCAATGCTCCTCGCGGGTGCCTTCCGTTCCAACCCACGACACTCGACCGCGCCGTCACCGCACGTTTCCTCGACCCTGCAGGCGCATCCACCATCCGTGCCCTCTTCCTCTGCGCAATCGTCGCGTTCGCGCGCGACCTCTGTGGATTTCAGTTCCCAAGCGCAGGATATCCGGCCGGCGATAGACGCATTCCGGCGGATGAGCACCACGGACATACGCCAGCTGCGGCCGTCCACTGCCGTTCGCGAAGACGCAGAGCGCGAACATGCATTCTTGCGAACGTCAGATGCGTTGCGCGCGCCGCCGCACTACGACAAGGCAGGCCATTCGTCCGCGCGGAAGGACGAGCCTAGAGTCGCACACCAGTCTGCGTCTACCGCGTCCGCTTCCGCGCAGGCACCGAGACCGTCGACGTCGCACGGGCACCCAGAAACGCGCTCCTACTCGCATCAAAACCAGCCCGTCCTCGTGAAGCGCAAAGACAGCCTCGCGCTGCGCCCGATCCCGGTCTCTCATTTCATGCAGCCGGGTGTCAACAGGACGCTAGGCGGCGGGTCGACACGCCCGCGCTCGAGCAGCGTGATGAGCGAACGCTCCCTACCCCGCCCTCTTCCCCCGATTGATCCCAGTTCCCCGCTGGAGCTAAGCGTCCCGTTCTCACACTCTTCGGAGAGTGAGGAGGGGACCAAACGCTCCACGCACGAATCGTCGTGATATCTTTGTCGTCTCAATTGTTGTTGTTGCTGTCGACGTCCTACGGGTCCATGGTGTGCTCTATTTAACGACGAATGTGTAGGCTGTTGTACGTATCGCGCACGCACTGTATTATAGACCATGGATGGCCGTAGTATACGCTCTATGCATGTACCCTCGCTCTACATCGACTCGTCGTCCGACGGTGGGCCCTTCTTCCACTTTTCCCACATGCGCGAGCAGACGGTGCGCGCGAGGACGAACGGTTCCTCGGTGAAGGCCTTGTCCCACATGCGCTGTGCGAACGTCCACTGCGCGCCGGTGTGCAGGCTCTCGTGGGTGAGCTCGAGCGCTCGGTGTGTCGGCGCGAGCAGGGTGCGTATCTGCTCGTGGATGGGCGGGATTTGCGGGGGCAAGGGCAGCAAGAGGGATTGGCCACTTGAGGTGAATGTTAGTCGCGAGTGAGTGGCAGGCTGCTGATTGAGAATACGCACGCGAGATCCGGGAACGGTCGTCGTGCGGGGACCGATGGAGGCTGGATTGGCTCTTGTATACTCGGCTTTGTTAACTCCGGATGCAGGGCCTCCTCAGCGATAGCAGGCGTCGGCGACGGTGGCTGAACTCCCTTGAAGCTCCTCTGTCGCTGCTGCTGGTGTTCCCACTCCTCAGTCATCCGCTGCTTATACCGCTCCCACTCAGTCTGCCGCTCCAAATCATTCATCATCAAATCAATCCTCTCCTGCGCCGCCCATCGACTCTTGCTGAACCACAAATAGTACCCTTCGTCCCAGTGCTTCTCCTCTCTGTGCGCACCGTGCCCGTCGTGCTCGGGCGTCTCGCCTGTGATGAGGTCTATGACTCCGGGTGCGTGCTGGCCTTCTGGCGGGAGGGGATACTTGATTGTTGCGGTGGATCTTTGTCCGTCGTGCGCTGCGATGACTCGGGAGACCTCGTGTGCGAAGACGTGGCGGATACAGATCGTCCGGCAGGAGGGCTCGCGCTGCTCCGCCCGTCCGCGTACCGTCTGCGAGCAATATGTGACGCATCGTTCGTCCACTTGAGGAGAGTACCTTCCTGTGCCGTCTGCGTGAGCCTCGATATGGTCTGTGATATCCTGAGAGACGTACCCTTCGGCTGGCGGACGATCTTTATGGATGGGAACTGGGACCAATAGATGGGGAATGGCCTGGCGGGTATGTTCGAGCTCGAGCCGTCCGGCACAGGCCGTGTGCCTCCAGTGCTTGATGACATCGTTTTATGGGCGGAAGGACTGGGAAATAGTGGTCTGCGACGACAAGAGGGTGATGAGCAATGAAGGACACGCCACAACGTGCTTTCGGCCGGCATTGGACCGGAGCTCCAATGATGATCGGTGAAGATCGGCGGAGATCAATTCGGAGCCTACACGCGGGTGGCTTTCCCCGATCGGTCTTGTGCTTGAACTCTTGGATTTTTGGCTAGTTTCTTGCATATGCATTGTATATTCCGCAGAAACTCCAGCGGTGATTCTCTCGGCGACGGTGACATTGTGAGCAGCCAGAACAATTCTCGTGAGTGTGCTGCCTTCGCTTCAATAAATGTTCAGGAACTTCATACACACTTGTGTGCATTCCCATGATTTCATGTGCAGCCTGATTACTGTATGGCATAGTCCATCGTGCCGCACTGAGCGACTGGACGATTTTCATAACTATATCGAGGCAAGACGACTCCTGTAAAATCTGCTGTTCGTAGCTGCGATGGCCTCCGATGGTTCATGATGCTGCCATCTTTCTGTTGCGATGAGATTCTGCATGGTCGAAGCAATATTCGCTGAGGATGATTGATCACTGCTCGTCATGAAGAGGTGAGGCTCGAAAGCTGCATATTTCAATCGTTCTGTTCATATGAAGGAATTACGATAGCGCTGATCCACCTCTTTCATGGACATCCAATAGCTATATCTGAGCTGTATACGCGTTTGACTCCGTCATTCACGCACCCTACGTGTAGCAACTGCACAGCGCGGCCCAGCCAACGTGCTTCTCCTCGCAAGTCTCATCGAAGCATTCCGTATACCGCCAACTCAGTAAACGTTGAGCGTAGCTCAAATCTTCGGACCGTCTCTCATTCTTCGTTCGTTCGTTTGGAAAAGATTGTCAAGATTATTCATATTTTACATATAGGTATGTGCACTTTTCTTCTCGATACATGCTCCGATGTGTTGCCATAGTTTTACTGATGAAGCGCAGATTTTACGTACGCGTCGCGCTTGCATGAGATGCTCTGCCTCCGAGAGCCACACGCACGGTGGCCTCCATGTTGTCCTTCGAGTAGAAGGCCGAGACCGCTTTCCAGCATATCGACCGGGCAGCCATGCACAGGGGAGGAGCGCCGCCTAGCCTAGTGGATTGACGTTGACACAACGTTCAGCGACGTACCGTGCTGGGTAGTGGACCGCAATTGGAGAAGCCCCCGCTTCTGCAGCGTAACGCGGCACGTTTTCTTGGTTTCTGTGACTGGCTTTGCTGACGCTGGTGCCTGCGCAGTTTCCCGGACAGGAGGGAAATAACAAGCTGAGAGGTATGAAGATCCCGTCGATTCTTGACTGTACAACGAGAACGGAGAGGCCGGTGCTATCGAACTAGAGGGTCGACTTCACGCTCCACGGCTGGACGCGATAGACGAAGATTATACACTGGTGGAATGGTGCGTCGCTCAATGGACAGCCAGATTTCATAATCGCCCATGGACTCGCGGGGGGATGCTGTCAAGTTCAAGCCTATTTTAGGATCCTGAGTAGACAAGCATGGAACAATCTGATGATTGTGGACGGAGGTGGCGGAAATGTCGACATTCGCGGGAGCCAAAGCTTGGTCAGGTCTTTGCTCAAATGCCAGTCTCTTCATCACCGACGGGGCTAACTCGGAGCAAGCTAAGGAGATTGCGCGTCGCCAATAACGAAGACATTCTGAAGACGCCGGATGCGTTCGAGGTTTCGACGAAATTGATGGTGCGTACACGCGTGGCAGACTTGCTGAGTCTGGTAGAATGTGAGCTCCCTCTCGCTTTCTGACGGAAACATAGCAATTGTACTTTGGCAGGTCAGAAATAGCCGGTCTCCATCGAAGTGATCGAGGAGCAGGTCGACGAAACGAACGATGTTGTCTTTGTCTGTCTCCATTTAGTGAAGCGCGGTCTCACTCTCCCGCAGACGTCAGTTCTGCTTGTACGTGGTCGGATTCGAACGAGCCCGTTCCTATGCTTGGAGTTGCATGCATTCGCCGACACGGGAGAGCACGACGTCTGTCCGAAGGATAGACCATACATTCTGCACGCCGATCAACGCAATACTTGTTCGGTGAGCTGGTGTCCATCGCACGGTGTTTTGTGCTGACCTTCTATGTACATACACGAAGGTCGGCGATGACGATCATGTACGACGACAACTAGCCAGAGGCGGGCTGCATGTGTAGGCTTATTCTAATGATCGATGCTGCACTCCTTAAGGTGATGAGGAGCGTACCTTGCACTGACCCTATATGTGCACAGATTTCATGGTTTTGCGTTATCCATATAGCCCCATCGTCTGGCTGTCCGGATCGATAGTACACACTCAATTTTCGCATTCGGTCTACGTTTTGATATCACGTGCACAGGACAGTAAATCGCAAAGTCAGCGGCAAATAAGACTTGGTATGTAGGACGTTGAGGCGCGCTTTACTTGTCAATCATGAGATTGAAGCGTGACATTCATCGCGTGTTCGTACTATAGATACATGTCCTTTCCCATCTGCTGCTCGGTGCAGAGCCAGTGCTTGACCAGTTAACGATGTCATTTCCCAGAGATTCGCACTTCGTAACCGTATGATCATCATTTTCTACGATCCTCTGGCATTGACATTGAATTTTGACAAGCATTTGAACGATTGCATACACAGCAGGCTGTTTAATGATTCGACCATGATAGATTCTACACCGACAATGATGGACTACTCTACGGCAAGCTGACGCTTGTACTGCGACCGAGACACTTGATTCACCCTATGCGCGAGGACCGGACATCACGCGGCACACTGTGCGTCCACATCCATCAAAGACGGTCGCCCAACCATCTCCGTGTTCAAGAACCGACGCCTCCTCATCGGCACTTCCGGCCAAGAGCTCTGCGTCATTTGGAACCTCTCGGGCGACTGTACCGCAAAGCGCTGCCCCAAAGGACAGCCCCACACCTGCTCTCTCTGTGGCTCCGGCGACCATCACGCAGGATCCGAAAAATGTATGCGTGCGTGAACGCATCGTTACTCCATACGTCGCAGATGCCTTCGAGGCACTTCTGCGTCGTCATGGCCTTCTTGATAGATACCCTCAGCTGCCCTACAAGATTCGAAACAGGTTTCCTCTTGGCGATTTCGCTCCCATCACTCGCACATTTACTCCAAGCAACCATAGCTCTGCACTGGCACATCCCAACGTTATCGATGCATATATTCAAGAAGAACTCGCTGCAGGCCGCTTCTCTGGCCCGTATTCTCAATCCACTGTTGAAAGCCTTCTTGGGTCTTGCTTCCGGTCATCCCCTCTCACTGTGGTGGAGAAAGCCGGCTCACCAGGCAAGTTCCGTGTCGTTCGGAACCTCTCCTTCAAGGACAAATCTGGCGTCTCCATAAATGACCAGATCGACTCTGACAATTTTCCAACCCGCTGGGGAACTGCAGCAATGATTGCTGAGATTGTAAGTCGCTCTACTCCTCTAGCTCCGGCTTCCTATTGCCCCACTTTCACTGCTCGTATGACTACCCAGAGCACTCGCTCTGCCTCTATCCAGCAGGAATTGATCCTGCCGCTCCGGGCTCATGCCCCACTCCTTCTCTATGGGTATTCTACCTCCCATCTCCCTCAGAGCTTTGCTCTGTCTACCAGCGAGGCTTAAGACCACCGCTATCCATGCTTCTTCTTGCATGGGCTGATTGCACCATCCTCAGAGTTTAGCTCTGTCTCTACCTCCTGAAGGGAGCTCTCCACTCATCACCAAAGTTAATCTCTGCCTCACGTTCAATTGCCTATGCTCCATATATGCGTTCTTTGCGCCTTTTGTTCTTCTCATGACTTATTACCTCATGCGTATGTTGTTCAGGTCACTTCTGCACCTGATGGTGCATAAGCTGCTACCTTAGACATTGAGGCAGCGTTCCGCGCTTCGCCTGTCTGGCCTCCGCACAAGGCCTTCATCGTCGTGCAACATAATGGCTCGTTCTATATCGATCACTGCTTGCCGTTCGGTATCTCATCAGCGACAGGCATCCAGGGCGAGCCTGCCGACGCAATGATAGATATCCTGAAGGGCGAAGGTGTTTCACCCTCCGAGAAATGGGTGGATGACTTCGTCTTCTTTCAATTTCCCACTGCCAGCGGCTGGGTTACTGGCGTATGGATTCTCTATACATATGCCTATAATCTGAACACCATTTTGTCCATCACTGCACCCTTGGGTACACCTTGGCATCTTATCAAATGTTCTCCTTTTGCCCCATATACTACCTTTGGTGGCTTCTTCTGGGATCTCACTCTTGGAACAGTTTCTCTACCTGAACCAAAATGACTACAGTATCCAACAAAACTTCAGGCTTTCTTACAGGCCGCTATCTCTGGATGAGTCACACAGTGCGACTCCCAGAGCATTAATGGCACTCTCTCGCATATCACATTTGTGTATCCTCATGGCCGTGCTTACCTACCGAACCTCTGCCGATTTATTACTACCTTCCCAAGCTGCTTCGCTACTTGCTATCCTCCAACCTCCGTTCTTGCTGATCTGCGCTGGTGGTCTGACACGCTTTCGAAGCCCTCCCCAGCACGCACTCTCCGCTCTCGTGGCCCTGCCAAGGACCTCAGTATCTGGGTAGATGCTTCCACCTCATGGGGTATTGGTCTCATCTTTGGATCTGCATGGGCTACTTGGCACTGAATCCCTGGATGGAAGCGCGATGGGCATGACATCAGCTGGGCGGAGATGATCGCACTCGAATTTGCTACTCGTGCGATCGAAGCCTTCGACTACCATGATGTCACCGTCACCATCCATGGTGACAACATGGGTGTCATTGATGCTTACAAACATAGACGTGGTCGCAACTATCAAGTGAACGTGTTCATTCGTCGCACCAACCTGATCGCCATGTCCCTTAATCTCACACTTGACCCCGTCTATGTGAACACCAAGGACAACCTGGCAGATCCGGTGTCTCGAGGCATCTTCGACATGCCTCTCTTAAGATTGCCTACACTGTTCGCAATCCCGGAGGAACTCCTCCCTTTTCTATCCAACACTTGAGCCCATGCCTCATCCAGCATCGACGCCCACTGACACAGCAACATCGGCACCGCATCGTACCAAATCAGCACATAAACCGAAGTCCGGCTTAGAAATCACTCTTTGTCTTTGCGCTCACACATTCCAGCCTCTGATCACCTTTCTCTCTAGCGTACTCCTTATGGCATCCAGCATTATCAAGGCCTCAATGCCTCACTCTCTGTGGACTCTGTCAATACCTTACATCTTGGGCTGCTCTCCGCTCTAGAAAAGAAAACTCAGACTAATTATGGTGCCGGTCTCAAACGATTCACTCAATTCTGTGACAATTTGCAAATTCCTGAACCCTCCTGCATGCCTGCATCAGATGCCCTCCTCGCTGCCTTTCTTGCGCACTGGCAAGGGTGCACTGCTCATATGACCATTGATAACTGGCTGGCCAGTCTGCGCTTCTGGCACACACTCAATGGCGCTCCATGGAGAGGTGATGCATTAGTACAAACCATCTGTAAAGCAGTTTCAAAAGCCGTTCCCGCATCCTCAGTATAACCCCGATGGCCTCCAGTCTCCCTCGAACATATGCATGCTTTGCACTCTGGACTTAACTTGACAAACTCCTTCAACACTGCAGTATACGCCTGCACTTGCGTCACCTTTTGGTCTGTTTGTCGGTGCATATACTACATGTACGATATCTTTATCGTATGTTTTTCTCACTCACACAACTGATCCTGGTGTCGACATTTCTCTATTATAGGCTGGGCGAGCTCGTCATACTGAGCGCTGGCCTCACGAACCCTCATTATCATGTTTTGCGAACTGCCAAGCTACAATTTCACACTATTGTGGGTGGCGTCGAGTATGCAACTCTACCTATCCCCTGGATGAAGACTACTCAGCAAAATGGTGCTGTTATTATCATTTCTCACCTCTACGATCCCACCAGCCCTATACCCGCACTCCGTCACCATCTTTCTGCAAATGCGGCAATTCCTGACACCGCACCTTTCTTCACCTTCGAAACAGCCTCTGGAGGCTGGGCACCTCTTATATGCACATGGTTTCTGGACCGCTGTAACACAATTTGGACGGAATCTGGCCTGCAGTCAGTCACCGGTCACTCCTTCTGTATCGGTGGTGCGACTGAACTGCTGCTGCGTGGGATGCCTCTCGACGTTGTCGCCATACAAGGCTGCTGGAAATCACATGCGTTTCTGAACTATTGGCGCCGTATTGAACAAATTGTACTGCTCTTCGTAACCAATTCTTTTGATCACTCCCATCTTGAGCTTGTTCGCACTTCTATGAATCGTTTTCAATGCAAATACTCCAGTTAATTGCCACTTTACCTTCACCTTAGCATATCTCTTCCAATACCCTCACTGACTTACTAAGCAGGTGAACGAGAAAGAGACGCGCTCAGCTGACAAGGTGTCGCATCTATTCTCCTCGCCACTACCTCGCATACAGCTCGCTTCACAGCATTTTCTCCCTCCCACCCACTCCTAGTAGTGTTCGGTGGTGGTGTAGTCATGCCACCTCTCGTTAGGCAGCTACGCTGCCACCTTACGCTCGAGAGATTCAGCTCAGACGTGCTCGAAACCCCGGATCATAGGCCAGTGTCTCAGGTACCTGGCTCCCAGGACAGGACCCCGGACACCCTTTCCGGACCCCAAGCACTGCTCTCAGCGTGGATCCCTAACCCACGCACATGCTAGCTGAATCCTCTCCCCCCACACACATGGTCGATGTATATCACATCTCTCCAGTACATTCTATATCACTCGACAGCATCCACTGCACTTAAAAAGTGAGGGGTCTTCTCCTAACATTCAGTATATGTTGGTAAGAAGGTAATAATGAACACGGTGATGTGCTACTGACTGCGCGCCATTTCTGTCCATGGGAGTTGCGCCATACTGGCGTCAATTTTATGAACTATTGCGCAGAGGAGCCTGTCGTCACCGTTCACGTCCAAAGAGCCTGAGTTGGGTGGCACTGTATGTCACATCTGTCAATGGCAGCACAGCAGATCGCGAAGACAGTGTTACATCATACATGTTTGAGCTACATATACTGTGTTGCTCCCGCCATTCTCCCCTCAGTCCCTACACCACCATAGGACTGAGGCTGAGATAGTACAGGTCACAAAAGGTTATGAGCCCCAGTTTCATGCGCCCATACGCCAAATTCTTTTAACTCGTACCTGTCCTCATTACCTGTCTCGTTGTGGTGGTAGCTCCTATACGTGAGCATTTTCAGATGTTTACCCCTGTCTTATTTCCACCGCTTTAGCAATTTCTTTTTGGACATCACGTTCCATCATGGTGAAGCCTACCACTGGCAGCCACTCTTGCTCAGCTAGTGCATCCAATGCTGGTGGTCCAGGACCAGCTCCTCTCCTACAGCCAATGCCAGTTCCAGTGATGAGGTCATCTCGCAAGATCACAATTACCACTTTTCTGTTGACCTTCTTCTCCTCTTCAAAACAGCTTGACCGTGTGAAGGGAAACTATGCGACATGGAGCCGGGAGATTGTTGATTCACTTCGCATGGCTCAGGGACTCGACCGCTATCTCACTGGTGCCGTTGTCCAACCTGATCCAAATCTCGACTTCGATAGCTCCGAGAACTGGATTATCAATGACAGAATGATCTGCGCATATATTAGCAAATCTTGCTCTACCGAGGAGCAGCACTTCATCTCCTCTGGTAGTTATGATACTGTGAAGGATCTCTGGGATGCTATCCGCTCTCATCACCAGCAACAAGGCACATACACTCAAGCACTCTTGCTTCAGGAGGCCTTATCCTGTCACTTCAACTGCTCTGAGCATCTTTTGGTCACAGTTGAACGCATCCAGGACCTTGTCGAATGCATTTATGCTATTGGTCTACCTACTGCAGACTCTCTCACATGCATCTGTCTGCTGCATGCCATGGGTGGTGACTTTGCCCACGTTCAATCCCAGGTTGGCACTGCACTCGCTGATTCTCATCGCACGAAGCCCTACACTGCTGCTGACATTATCGCATGTGTTGATCTCGAGCAACGTCTTATCGATGGTACTTCTGGTGCTTCCAAAGATGTCCTTCTCACCAAGCGCGCTGGTCATTTTTCGTCATCTAAGAAGACGTGCACCAACTCTTGGTGCCCTCGTCCTCAAGGTCATGACACTGCTAATTGCTGGGGGCCTGGAGGTGTGATGGAAGGATGTCGTGATGAAGTGCTTTCACATAAGAAGGTTACTTGGGAGAAGGGCAAATCCTCTGGCAGCTCCTCCCTTATCAAGAAGGATGGCTCTGGCCATGTCTATCTCATCGATGATGCTGGCCAGACTTACTTTCTATCTGCTGCCTCTGCCTCTCCTATAACTGCATCTTCAGCTGCCTCTCCTTCACCATCAGCATCTGAGTTTGCCAGTCTGGCCGCCGTCTCTCCTGACTGGCTCACATTCGTTTCCTCCGATCCTGGAAGATTTGATGAAAGTTGCCTTAGAGCAGATATCAGCACAGTCACGCTCTTTGGTGTAAGTGCAATATCGAGTGATGAACCCTTGAACCAATGGTCCTTAGCAGAACCAGCAACATTGATGCGCTTTCAGCTTGTGCTGATGAGTCTCCATCTGATGACGAGCATGACAACCAAGCTGCAGGTGATAAAGAGCAGGGACATTAGGCAGGTTTGGGATAAGAATGATCAGGGTTACAATGGATCAAGGCCCTGGGTATCGGATGCCCAAATACTGGCAACTTCCAGCCGCTCATTCGTGCGTTCGTGGACAAAGGCCACATACGATTGCACAAGGAACACTGAAGGCCTTAAGTTTGGTGCCATAAATATCAATCATCACGAAGCCCGAGGTGCCCGCAGCGTTAGATCATATGTGTACTACATAGGGAACAGACACGTGCTCTTCACGGTGGATGATCGAATCCTTTGCAGCTGCAAGCTCGCTATTTGAATATCATCGTAGAGAATGCTGGCCTCACTTCTGAGAGCATTCATTGCAGATGCCGTTGACCCAAACAGGCTTGATGCATCCGCACCACAGTTGAACTTGAAGCTTGACGTACTGACAAGCTGTCGCTCTCCCGCTCTCTGCGGCCTGCAATGCACATGCTGTTACTTCATTAACATCTGTCGTTCGTACTCTCGCAGGATACCAATTGACATACATATATGGTACACATTCCCATGCAGTAATGAGACAGGGTTTAAGATTCCTGTGCTTGATAGCTGCGCAATATGCTATCTGTCTTCCTCCAATTTGAAGGCACCGGTGGCCCATGATGCCTGCGGGCAATGCACCATTGACAGTAAGCTCATCCGATGGCTGTTCACCAAAGTCTGACAGTGAATAGACATGCATCCAGACTCGCGAATCTTGTTGCGAGCCCGGCGTTCCTCGGATCCATACTCACTCTTTACAACAATGTTCAATCAAACCTACCTCTGCATCCCACGTGGAGAATCTGGAAATACCAACATGGTGCATGGCACATGGGAAGCTTACTGAAAGAGTGCATCATCTATCATGCCTACGAGATGCTAGATCTAGGCTGAATGGTCAATGTAATGCCTCAGCGAGGTCTCAGCCCGACACAAGAATCCCACGGCGCATTGTCACAATTCCCTCTCGTGACACTCTTCAATTTAAGAGACACTCTATTTTGCTGTTACGGAAGTCATGCTTAGACAGCATCCTTGATATCATACTGGCTCACACCATGGAGCTCATGCCTGACCTCGCGTATCTCATCGATTCGCCTGCGAAGCCGTGCTTTATGATATTTAGTCTCGCCATTCGCTGACACTCCAGATCTTGACCTGGAGCTTCTCAATAATAGGAGTCAACTGTGTTCTTTTCGTCACGTCAATTGTGATTCTCTTCAAGCAAGGAGGGCGGCGAGGACTCAACGTCCTTCTAGTTGTGACTAACATATTCTTGTTTCTCGGCTGCACGACCCATTTCAGCATACAATTCAATCACTACTACACCACTTTGGTATGCACGTATCTCTTACTGCAGATATGTATTTTCGACAATCCTTCCTTGCGAAACAGGGATCAACGGGAGTGACAGGCTATGCCAACGAAACACTCCTGATGTTCGGCGGTGACATCCTAATGTCCATTATCGATTTTGTCAGTGAACTCATTCTGTGCTATCGCTGCTGGGTCATCTGAGGATGATCGTACCTGATTGTTGTCCTCCTCTTCCTGACGTCACTGAGTGGACTGAATAGGTGTTCATTCTTCCTCCAGTTGTGATATTGACACGCAGGTCTCGGACATGCTGCCACTTTCAGCATGCATCCATGGTCTCGCCCATCTAGTTCTCAGTACCGTGCCCACGGTGCTGGTCCTGCCACCTGCGCTGGTGTGGCTTGGACTCATGGGCTACATCTTAGCACTGTGCATGAATGTGCTCATAACTGCACTCATTGTCGGCTGCATATGGTATGTGTCGCGTCACTGCCGGAACATCATTGTGGGTGCAAGCGGCACTGCGAAGGTGATCAGCATACTCGTCGAAAGCAGTGCAATATACCTCATCATGCAGCTTTCGTATGTCACCTTGTTTGCTCTCGGTCTCCCCACAGAACAGATCGCCGGCCTCGCGACAGTGCAGATATATGTAATAATACTCTTTACTCACTCTCTTTTTCACCCAGCTTATCCAGTCTCCCTCATAGGGCATCTGTCACAGTATTAAGTGGCACCTTTCTTTTTGCACCATTAAAGTCCTCATTTGAGTGGTTATTCAGATGCCAACCTTCATATTGGTCTCGCAACGTGGATACTTGAACAAACAGCACAATGCCGCCACATACATCACGGACATGACTGTGTCTACCACATGACCACCAAGCGCCCATGATTCAGCCACCCAGTCACGTGACACTGGCCACTTGCCCTATTCAGAAGTTATCAGGCGTTGGTCACGTGACACCAGGCCACTTGCCCAGAAAGGAACCCGTTGGACCATCAAGCTAGCAAGCACCCAATTCGCCACTCAAGATAGTGGCACCACTTTGCTGCCTAAACCAATAGGCAGATACCACAACAGAGGATCCC